GGGAGGAAAACAAGTTGATAATCTACACACAGTATAAAGATGAATATAACTTCTTAAAACAGGTCTTAAAAATGGCTCGATGACATGGCAAATAATTTCAAATGAAATAGTCATGCCATAAAAATCTGATTTTCCCCATAAGCCCTTCATATAACTCAATCTATAATGAAAACACTTACAAACTACTGCAAGGCAATTAAGCGAAAGTAGCATTTCTTAATTTTAATTTTAAAGCCTAAATGTCAGCATTTTTTTTCTCTATAGGGCCAGAAATATGTAGCTTTTGCTAGACCAAGTACTCTCTTATTTCAGGTACTCAACTACACCACTGTAACAAAAAAAATGGAAGTATGTAAACAACTGATAATGCTGTGTTCGAATAGAACTTGAGGACATATAATTTTCAAGTATCATAAAATACTGTTCTTCTTTTGATTTTTTTTCAACAATTTAAAATGTAAAAGCCATTTTTAGTGTTCTGGCTATATAAAAACAGGCTGCAGGCTGGGTTTGGACAGGCCAAGTTTGCTAACTCCTGCCTAAATCAATACGAATTAAGTGGGTTTTGTTTTAAAGATTACTCCTTAGGAGCAAGCTTGCTACCAAAATAAAGGGAAGTAGAAACAGTAAAAAACACTGAGAGTAAGTGCTATCAAATAAACTCAGAAAAATTGATAATTGTATGCTAAAAGGCAGATTATTTATCCATAAATAATGCAAATAGGACAGTAGATAGAAATTTCTGGAAGCTCAAACACTCCAGAGATTAGTCTTTAAGGGAATCTTTAATACATGTAAATAAAACTCACAATGGAAACCTATTTCAATGTTACAATATTCTCGCCCTTTAAAATATAAATTCAGATATTTACATTTAGTATAAACTGACAACAATTTTTAAAGCTTCGAAACACCTACTCTGGAAAATAATATGCTGTTTTGTTTTTGTTTTGGATGGTACTGGGTTTTGAACTCAGGGCCTTGCACTTGCTAGGCAGACATTCTACCACTTCAGCCAATCTGCCAGCCCTATATTATAATATGGAAAAACATTGTTGTCAATGCTGGTAAGTACATAAATTGGTCTCACTTTTTCAAAAGGAAATTATGCACTGTATCAAAATTCCTAACATTCTCATGTCAGTTTTTGTCTTAGGAATTAACAAATACAATCACATAAGCATGCAGAAATGGATGATACCACGGGTGCCAGTGGCTCATTCCTGTAATCCCTGGCTAACAGGAGGGAGAGACCAGGAGGATCATGGTTCAAGCCAGCCTGGGCAAATAATTCGTGAGACCCTATCTCGAAAAAAACTCATTACAAAAAGGGCTGGTGGACTGGCTCAAGGTGTAGGCCCAAGTTCAACCCCAGTACCATAAAAAAAGAAAGAAAAATAAATGGAAGATATTCACTAGAGTACTGTTTACAGTTGTAAATGTAAAAAACTGCAACCATGCTAAATTTTCATCAATAGAGAAATAATTATTATGGTAGATCCATAAAACATACATATAATATGTGGTCACTAAAAGAACTAAGGAAAATCTACATGTACTAACAGGAAAAGACAGCTATAATACATTAAGGAAAGGCAAAATTAAGTTGCCAAATGGTGGGCATATAGCATGCAATTTTCTCTACTTAAACAAATCTACAGATACATGCATACACACACACACCTTTTTACACGCATAGAAAATGGACCATGATGTACACCAAATTGGTAATAGTGGTTTATTCTGACAAAATCTTTGTGGGAAATGAAAAACTGACAACTTATGACTTCAAATTATTCTATATTTGTTTCATTTCTTTTTAAACAACTAGCATATGACCATTTTAAATTAAAGGAAAGGTAACAAATAGAAACATGACTTAAAATAAGAAAACTGTAGTAGTAATGCCAATAACCACAAAATCTAAATGATATAAAACATTAATGTTAAATGAAACTAAAAACTCACTCAATATATTAGCAATGATCTACATAATAAATAAGAATCCTAAAGTTGGCTTCAAGTGAAGGAGGTTGATTAAGAAAAATCTATAATTATGCTAGCCCAAGGTCAGCATACTAAGTGCTGTAACAGAAGTCAGCATCTCTGAGAATGTGAATCTAAACCATTGTGTGTAGGTAGAAACATTGCGTATTAAAGGACAAATAGAAACTGGCCAGGCAGATTTGGTGTATGCCTGTGAGGGCGCTATGTTTCTGGTGAAGGTAACATTTGCAAAGACAAGCTGCAAGAAAGCACTGAGCACTAAAAACCACAAATCGTTAGGTATTCTTTTTTAAAAAAAAACATAACAGGATCAGTGAATAACAGACTTTTCACAATACATTGCATGATACTCATTCAAATATTTATTATATATCTTCTAAGTGCTAGATGCCATGGTAGGCCTAGGTATTCACTAATATGAGACAATAGTCACTAAATATTTAATTGTAACTTGTGATAAAGGAATGAAGAAATTAAGACTTACTAATGGACTTTTCAAGGAAGGGCTCTGTGATAAATTATTTTGAGATGCAAGGAATAAGAAAGTGTCAACAAAAGGGTGAGAGTGGAGAGGTCAAATGATGGGAAGGAGTAGTTTTACTCTAGACAATAATAGTTTAGGAAAAAAACTTAATTTGAAAGACAGCTGATATAGCTGAAACTTAGCTGAACAGACAAATTAAGGATAGATAATCCAGGGCTTTGCAGGTCAGTGTGAAGTTTGTATTTTATCTGATATAACTGGCAGCCACTGAAGGTACTAAATAGGAATGCTATGTTTGCCTATAGGGGTTTAAAAGGCTATTTGGAGACTAGAATCAAAAGGGACACATAAAAGAACTGCAATAATTTAGTAAAGAAATGTAGATTTGGATAAAGGTAGTAGAGAAAGTCTCAAGATAAAATTTTTGAGGTATATTAAATGGAACTTACTGAAAAAATAGAGCATTAGGGAAAAAAGGAATAGGAACTGGAAGAATTAAAAATGGCAGGTTACATCAAATTAGTAAATCACACAATAGTAAATCTAACACTTTGGATACACACATGTATTAGAATGATTTTTCAGGAAATAATTCATAAATTATTCAACAGACATATAAGGAGTACCTACTGTATTCTGGTCATTGTAAAAGCTGGTAAAGAACTGATATAATCTTTTAAAAAATAAGCTACCAAGTCTTTTAATACTGTAGAAATTTTCAACAATCTCTTTAAAAATTCTAGTCAAGCATCAAAGTTTTTACCTTGTATGTTACACTAAAAACAAGAAGCAACTAGTTTTACTACTTTTCAAGATGGTACATCTCAAAGAAAACTATTTCATACATACCTTTGGGAGATTGCTTCAAAGGCTGAGAAACTTTTACCAATGATTGCTGCTGATCAGCCTCTCCAAGTAATGAGTTAACAGACGTTTTCTTTTTCTCCAAACCCTGTGAAATTTTGGTAGTGGGGGTGCTTCCTGCTAAACAATTTTGATTAAACTGAGAAAGAGTCTGAGAATTTTTCATCTTTGTAAATGCAAACTTTGGAAATCTAGCTGTTTTGTTAAGGCCATTCTGAGCTTCATCCGTTATAGTCCAATGGGATAGTTGCTGGGTACTCAATTTCTTATTAGTAGCTATTTCTGTGTTCATATGATCTGAACTCACATTCAAACTTGAACTTTCTGCAAGAACCGATTTGGAACTATTCACTTGTATTGGGACACTAGTGTTACTCCAAGCGGCATGCAGATTGTTTATCTGGCAATTTGAGTTCTTAGAGTACATAGTCAAATTTGTTGTAGCATCCAAAAGAGCTGGAGAATTTCCACATGTTTCCATTTTCTCCATCCTCATTGATTTATTTATTTGTGAGTTATTTATCAAAGATGTTTGCATTGAAATGCTACCCAGATTCAAATACTTTGATTGCACCAAATGACTTCCTTCTTTAGACGGAATAGACAAGTTTCTGGCTCCATGTTTAGAACTATTATTGATTTCAAGAATACTTTTTGACATCTCACTGTCCTTTACAACGTCTTGTTGCTGAGTTAGTCTTTCAATATCATCACATGCTTGATATAATAAATCATCATCTACGTCATCTGCTTCCCAGGTAGTTTCTAACTGATGACATGCATTAATAATTTCATTGGCAAGACATGGATCATTCCAATCATCAAAAAAAGAACCTAATTTTGATGCAGTAGTCTGATTTGAGTGACTAACACTGGTTTCATTGACCAAGGCTGCAGAGCCAAAAGAATCAATATTAATAGGTTCTTTAAAAGATTGATTAAAAATGGGCTGATTTTTTTGTTCATTAGGACATCTTGTTCTCAAAGCAGACCTGTCTGCAGAAGCACATACACTAGAAGTAAAGTTAGTATGACTATCTTCTACTTTTGTCAGGTTACATTCAACTATACAATCTTGACTTTTGTTTTGAATAAAAGCATCTCTGGAAGATTTCTCAAATTTCATTTTATTTCCTGTAAAAGGCAGTTTGCTTGATTTATTGTTTAGATCTGGCGAACATCTATTTTCTCCAGCATCTATTAGTTGTTTTGTTACGTGTCTTTGAAGGAACATCCTGTAACATTTTTTGGATCTCTTAACCTGACATTTAGATTTATTTTTGCTCTTACCATATTTTTATCATTTTTACTAATAAAGGTAGAGACTCCCTTGTGATCAGTAACTTGGGCAGTTTTAGAAGGGAAGAGTTCAAGCTTTTCAACATTTTGCATAACAAGAGGTTCATTACTTAGTAAGCTTTCCCAGTCATCTTCAAAATCATTAGTAGTAAATGCATCAATGTGCTTATTAGAAGCTTCTGGCTCCTTAGTGGAGGGAGTCACAGAAGACTTTGTCATTATGGGAGCATCTAATTGAGAAGAAAGCGATACTGGGACTTTATTTGGCAGTTTTTCAGTGACAAGAGTTTCATTTGTAATGATTTTCTCCTCTTTTGAAGAACTGTTTGTTCCAAAGACAGTACTACTGTTGTTCAAAAGAGCATCTGACTGGTCTTGGCTTAGCAGCCCACTACATCTCTGAGTAGAACCATCAAAAATGGCATTAAAGGCCGCTTCAGCATTTTGGTCAAATGGTTTGTGAATACAGTTTTGGTCATTTGCCACAGATGTCCTTGTATTTCCTTTCATTGATTTCTTCATTATAGCATTATCTATTTCAGGAACTGTATCACATAATGACTGCATGTATACATAATCTTTACAATTATGTAAAGTCTCTGTTTCTGAAATCATCTGGATAAATCATGATTCCTCTTGTTTTGCACTTGAATCACATCTAGCTCTTCCATATTTTTATCAAACTGCTCAGCCAATTTTATAAGTTCTTTTTCTCGATTTTGTGTTTTTAACCTATTAAACAACATTTAAAAATTAGAATGAAGAAATGTTCTAAGACTCAATAAAATTTTCAGTTGCTATTTAATATATTTTGGCATGTTAAAACTCCAAAATTTTTATCACAATTATTTTAACTCCAGAATTTTACATGTCAAAACAAAGAAAATTTGACTATTTTTATATATTCAAAAACCAAGACATTATTAAAATATTTGCTTCATCAAATCATAGAAAAGTTGGAACTCACTTTGTACAGCTGATTTTTACTCTTGATTTTTCTTTTGCTACACTGGGAGTACAAGGAATAGCAGTGTCACCAATCCACACACCCAGCATGGAGTCTGTTGTTGGTTTTTCATCCTTGGAAGGAGGAAAAAGGTATAGGAGTAGCAGGTTTTTTTAAAAAAGGAAGAAAAGAAGAAAAATGAAATGAAAACTACTTCAAATTATTTTCCTAGAGCAATCGATTCTGGTGATAGTTGTTTAACAAACTCAAAAGCAATGAGAAATTGGAAAATGGCAATAAAAAGTCACAAGAAGTAATGCATTCATGTTTCTGGGATTAAAAAATATCCAGAATTAAGATTCCTTATTTTAAAAACACATTAGGTTTAAAACTAAATTACTTATCAAATGCATATTTAATATAAGAATATGAAAGAACATTTTTAATCAAAGGAAAACTGACTTATTTATGTTGTTCTAAGATGCTCATCAAAAGCATAATCAGAAACAAACTATGTGGCAGAATCATCAGAACTGAAAATAAAGACACATAGGAATTCTTTTTTTTATCACCAAATTCTTTAAATTTTCTTTATCGCCATTATACTTTAAATTGGGAAACCCATGTTGAGTTAAATTGAGAACACGAATTAACGTCAGGACTGATTAGAAATTGAAAGCAAGGTCAGAACTAATGCTAAGAATGAGGCAAGCATTAGGAAAATAGAGAAAATCTTTAGGAAAACATCATCTTAGACAAGTATTTTCACAAACAAATTTAAGAGAATGAGTTTTATGTGTTAATTGCAATGCAAACCCAGTTTTTAACTCTTTGTATAGTAACCAGGAATATAAATAACCAAAGACCAGGTAAAAAAGTAACCTTATTACTAGATTATAGGGTACTATGATAGCTTAGTAGGTAGCATGATGCTGGGCATAAAGAAAATGCTTTTTTACATTTCTTATAAGGTTTAGGAGAAAAAACACCCTATATAACTTGATACTTTAAAATCCTAAATGAATCAACAGTTTTCTTAATGCCCACTTGAATCTCCTTGACTTTAACTTTGCAAAATACTCAATAAAAATCAGTAATTTCACTTTTGGACTCAGTAGTTTCCCTTTTTTGCCACAACAATCTTGAAGAGAATAATATTCTTAATGATTTAATTATGGACTCTGCCCACTTACAAGTAATTTTAAGTTCATTCAATTTAAAATTATGACTTCATGTGCAGAAGTCCTATACATTTTTGTACACTATTTGTGTTTTACTTTAAATTTAAAATAATTACATAATTATTAAATCCCAACTACAATCTAGGAGCCATGTAAGGTATTTAAACATATTACTCCAGTTCATACTAACAGCATACTGTGTCAAGTTGTACAAATGAAAAAAAGCAGCAGAGGCACGCTCAAGTGGTAAAGAGCCTGCCTACCAAGCAAGAAGCCCAAGTTTAAACTCCAGGACCAACAAAAAACTAGATGAAAAAAGAAAACAAGATATATACCACTCTAAAACAACTATAAAAAGTTTTCACTGCAGAAAGTGAAATGACTATCTAAAATGGAAGAATGTAGCCAGGTGCCAGTGGCTCATACCTGCAATCCTAGCTACTCAGGATGCAGCCATCAGGAGGATCAAGGTTTGAAACCAGCCTGAACAAACAGCTAGCAAAGTCTCTACCTCGAAAGAAAAAAAAAAATCACAAAAAGGGGCTAGCGGAGGGGCTCAAGGTGTAGGCCTGAGTTCAAACCCAGTATTACAAAAATAAAATAAAATGGAAGAATGGAAGAGCATATTTTTTAAAATGTCATCTCTAAAAATATTAAAGGAGAATTAAATAATGATTTGAAGATAACTCACCTAAAAAATACCAACATAAAGATTTGTCATTATGAGAACATGACAAGCTTTAAAGGAAAAAAAAAAACCTTAAGTCAGATGCTGGTGGCTCACGCCTGTAATCCTAGCTACTCAGGAGGCAGAGATCAGGAGAAGCACAGTTCGAAGCCAGCCCAGGCAAATAGTTCATAAGACCCTATCTCAAAAATACCTAACACAAAAAGGGTTGGCAGAGTGGCTCAAGGTGAGGCCCTGAGTTCAAGCTCCAGTACCACAAAAAAACAAAAAAACCTTAATACTATCAAAGATTCACATGCTTTAAAAGTTCTCAGTCAAAAAAGGGTAATATTTATAAGCAACTAATTTCACTGGATTTTGTTTTCTTTGACACAAGTTACCACTTGCATACTGTTGCTATTTCTTTATGTGAGCTATTATTTCCAGTCCATTTAGGTAAAGGATCCAATAATGTACTCAACTATCTTTTTATCAGTATTTACCCTGGCCAGCCCAAACACATTTTATGATGCTTCTTTCATGTGAAACCCACAATTAATGAAGATCTAATGTTAACTTACAAAGTAAGTAGTATTATGGCACAAATGCTATTTAGCTAATGAATTGTACCTAAAATGAGTTTCTATGACACGCCAAACATGGAATGTAAAACTAGTAGCAACAGAGTTGTTTTGACTGTGCTAGCTGCAATTCTGTACACTTCATAATGGCTAAGAAAAGTTTATTTCCCATCTCCTCACCTAGATGGATTCTTCATAACCATATTTTGGGACAGTACCATCTGTTGTTTATGGTCAACACATAGTAACTATTCATGGACATACTAAGGAGAAATACAATTTCTCAGAGAAATGTGAAGTAAAAACTAGATGCTCTCTGTATTTTAAGGTTGTTAAATAAGGGAAAAAGAGGAAGAAAGCAAAGAAGTTCAGAATGGTTTCATGTATTGGGCCTATGTTTCTTAGTGACAGTAAAAGGACTCATGGTACATGACATCAGTTATTGGATTCTTTTGTGTCAAATGACTGACTTAAACTTATGTTGCTATTTTACTCAAGCAGTACAAGAATGGAAATGAAGAAAAATCTTTTGAAAATGGTTCTATTATAGCAAATAATTAAACCATCATAATTAACATCCTTACATTATAGTGCTCTATAATTTATTAGAAGTTTTTATCTAATTTAATCCTCATAATAATACAATGAAGAGAGGGAGACAAGTAATAATTCCAATTTCTGGCTGAATGAACTGAGATTTGAGTTTAAGGACTCACCTAGGGTCACACAACATAAAAGACTGAATGAGGACTAAATCTAAATCCCAAGGTTTTTTCTAGTTCTAAAGTGTTTCTTGGTGGTTTTACAAGCCAGTGAGTATTAACGGCAATTTCAATGGAGAGAATTTGTACTATAAATAGTAAACAAACACTAATAATAAAAACATGACAAAAGTTTAAATTTATATTAGTTGCTATTCTATTATTTCAATAATTTGAAAAATGCCATGTTGCTAAATACAATATTAAAGACAAAAACAAACATCAAGTTCTAGTAAGAAAGAAATCACTACTCTAAAAAAATTTGAAAATATATACGCAGGAAAATTTATGCAGTTGGCCCTCTCCATGTTCTACACCCATGGATTCCACCAACCACAGACTAAAAATAGTCAGGAAAATATAATTGCTTAAATCTATATAGAACATGTATAAATTATTTTTCCTTGGCAATATTTCCTAAATGGTATGGCATTACAACTGTTTACATTGTATTCGGTATAAGCAACATGGAGATGACTTCAAGTATACAAGAGAGGCAGGGGTATGTAGTGCAGTGGTAGACCCCTTGCCTAGCATGTGTAACACCCTAGGTTTGATCCCCAGCACTGCAAAAAATAAAAAATAAATATAAATTTAAAATATGGGAGGATAATGTGTAGTTTACATGCAGTTTACACGTAGTTTTCTGTAAGGCGTTTGACTATCCATAGATTTTTGACATCATGGGAATTCTGGAACCAATCCCTCCTGGAATACCAAGGCAGGACTACACTGTCAATTTTACATTATGTTTCTCTTTTCCAAACCCGCTCTTCAGGAACAGAAAAGATAAAAGTAACCTTTATTGCCCTATTTTTGGAAAAGAGAATTATGTAAAGCAAAACGTTTTTTATATAAATGCACTGCATAAGCAGTTCGTACATTTCTCACTGTTTTAAAACACATAAAACTAGTGATATTTACCTGAGGAGCAATACGATTAACAATACGTGAAATCTCATCACTATCTGTGGAATAAATCTGTTTTCTTCTTCCTTTACCTAAAGAAGCAAAGACCTTTTTATAAATTTTAGACAAAAATAATTTGTAAAATGTCACTCTTTAGAAAATTATCCTAATCAGTACAACTTAGATGACTGTGCACTGACATTACATACATATCCTAGATAAAATTACATAAGATTCTCTGAAAACACCTGCTGTATAAAAGATTATGGGCTGGTATGAGACAGAGTTCAAACCCCACACCCACAAAAAGAAAAAAGTTAGTATTTCCCAAGTGAAACTGTATAATTAAGTCCTAAACATTCATCAAATATTTATCCACATAAAAGTGATAATAACGAATTACCTAACTGTTTGGTCAATGGAGAATTCTGATCCCAAAAGATGTCATTCTGTCCATCTGGATCATTTGGAGAACTGAATGTACATGATAATAAATCCATTTTCAGCACTTGCCTTGGTGTTTCATACTTTTCTATATAAAATAATTAGAATATCTGTTGCATTTTAAAGCATTACTTTACTTCATAATACCCCAAAGTCAAATAATAGCTTAGACTACTTTTTATAGTCTAACAAAAAGTTTTCTCCTAAAGACAATTACTTTAACCACATCCGAAATGCTTGCTTCACATTATAAAATCTGCCATAACACATCATAAATTTAACATTGTAAACACTAAGTATACTTAATTTGGTAGGTGTTTGAACTTATGATACTGTGAACGCCGTCACTCCATTCACTATCACTAGGACTGGAGATTTTGGAAAACCACCTGTAATGTTTAGATACATTTCAAAAAAATCAAATGTATCCCAACAGAAACTCCAGTAAAAAATCTTCTTGCCTCCTTTCACCAACTTTATCAACCTACATTAATAACTACTCCAAAAAGCATTAATGATCCGTTTCTTGGGGAAAGTTTTGCCCAGAATCACTTAAAATTTTTATAATTTGTGTTTGTTCATTCCCAAGTTTGCTTTATGGGAGTAAATTAAAGGCATGTAAGGTAACAAAAGCCATCATGTAAGAACACGCTCTGGGAGAAGGCTTTTATGTAAGTTTTGCTGGTATCGATTACAAGTCATTAAATGGATCAAAACCGAAGAGAATGAAAGGAAGAGGCCCTGGGTTCCCTACTCTATGGGAACGCTACACGCAGCAACTTCCGGTGTCTGCAGGGTGAGGTGGGACATCACCAAGGCTCTTCACGTGGCCCCTTGCTGAGGTCAGCCAGGATCTAAAAATAATAATAACGTTTAAGGGGAATATGGATTTTGCTAGGGTAGCAAGCAGGGCGGCTACGTCTCCCCATTGCACTACTGATGACTGCAGGAGCAGCCTAAAAACTATCTCCCCCGACCAAGGCCACATAATAGGTCAACGCTCAGGGACAGGCTCGGACTCGGGAACCCCGGTCGTGAGGGCCTGGTGCACGGGTCACTTGGGACTCGTGGACGCAGAAAGAAGACCCGGCAGGGATGCCGGGCTCCACCTCCACCCGCACCCCGGCCTCCTCCAATGGCTGGGCTGAGGAGCTCCGAAGCCACGGCCAGGCGGCCGCGCTGCCCACGTCTCACCCTCGGGGTTACTTTTACTGCACGAAGCGGCTGCTGGGCGCTGCTCCTGCGGCCGCCCCGGCCCGGGAGGCCCCTCTCCCGCCACGCGGAGCCCCGAGCGGCGGGCCGACCTCGGGCGCCGCCTCCCCGGCTCGATCACCGAGTTGCATTCCTCGGCCGCGGCCGCTTTGTACGGCGTGTTCTTCAGGATAGGGATGTCCCCGTATTTCCTTCGCCGGCTCATTCCGATGACACCCCCACTTCTACCAGCCGCTTCTTTTACATCTTGCAACCCGAGGCGTAAAGTCTCAGCATTACAAACCGTACTCCGCGCCAACGGACGCCGCCATTTTGGCCAGTGTGGCGCGCGCAGGAGGCTGCCGCTGATTGGCTGCGCCCGGGAGAGGGGCGGAGCTATCGTGATGTGGGCGGGGCTAGTTTCCACAAACCTGGACCTGAGTTTGCCTTGCAGGAGATTGGAGTCTAGCTTCGCACTATGAGATTGGAAGGAATTGTAGGACGGTGGCCGGGCCCACGTGGCTGAGACAGAGCGCGTTAGGTGGGGAAAGAAGACTAAATATACTCCTGGATGTTTATTGAAATTGCAACAGAAATTACACATGCCTCTGATTTAGATTTTTGCGTACTTTACAGGAAATAAAAGGTTTGGATTACAAAGGGCTAAAACTTATTTGTCATAGATGATACAGTATGTGCATAGAAAAATCTAAAAAATGTAGGAAAAAATTATTAAGCTAATAACAGTTTCTAGATACACAATTCAAGGATCAATTGTGTTTCAAGAGATAATAACAAGCATAAAACACAAGTCTTAAAGAAATGTGATTCATAGTAGCATATGAGGTAACAAATTATTAGGAATAAGTTTAACCAAAAATTTCCACCTTTACAGAAAGAACTATAAAATATTTAGGAAAGAAATTGAAGACCTAAATAAAGGAAGGGCTAAATCACAGGTTATGTGATTTACTCTTGTTATAATGTCAGTTCTTCCAAAATGGATTATAGATTCAGTATAAAGTCTCAGCAGAGGAGAGTGTGTATGTGTGTAATAGGACAAATGTATCCCAAAATTTTTATGGAAATGCAAAGGGCCAAAAAAGATCTAGGAACTTTTGATCTCTCAAAGAATAACAAAGTTGGATGCCTACCAGTTATCAAGACTTACAGTTACAATAACGACAGTGTAAAGGTATAAACAAATAGATGGAAGAAACAGAATAGAGAGCTGTAAAACAGACTTCCACATAAATGGAGACAAGACAAAGATGACCCTCCATTTTGAAAATAAATGGTGCAGCAGGGGTGCTTGCCTATAATCCCAGCACCAGAGGGCTGAAGAAGGAGGATTGAGAGTTTGAGACCAGCCCAGCAGGAGCTACATAGCCAAGACCATGTCCAAAAATCTACAGTAAAGAAAAATAATTTAAAAAATAGTGCTTGGTCAATTCGATATTCATATGGAAAAAGAAAAACATGACTTGTCCCTGAAACCATGTTCTTAAATCAAGTACAAGTTGATTAGAAATTTAATTGTAAAAGAAAATTATTTTATAGAATGAAATAAATTGTCTTCATGACAGAAAATGCATTTTAAGTGGAACAAAAAGTCACCAATTACAAAGAAAATAATTATAAATTTGACTGCATTAAACTGACAACTTGAGGACTTCTGTCCATCAAAAGGCAACATTAAAAGAATGAAAGGCAAGGCACAGTAGGATAAGATATTTGTAAGATCTGTAATTAATAAGCTATTTAAAGAACTGGACAATAAGGAAAATGTAGTGTTGAACAAGCTCATCACAGAAAAATCTAAGTGATCAATACACATGTAGAAAGGAACTCAAGTTCATTTATTTATTTGTTTGGTGGTACTGAGGTTTGAACTCAGGGATTCATGCTTGCTAGGCATTTACCCTTACCTTCATTTTTAACCAGGAAAATGAAATTGATACCCATCTCGAACAGGCTAAAATTAATAGAAGTATCCAGGTACTGTCATTCACCACTCGTGAGATATAACTTGGTACAACTAGTTTAGAAAACAATTTTTGATCTAACAGTTCCACTCTTAGGACCCAATGGGAACTGTTCATCAAGACACATTTTATAAAAATGCTCTTAGCGATAAAATTAAAAATGATAGAACAATAATGTCACCATTTGTAAATCGGTGGCCATTTTATCCTCAGACCTCACTTGAGAAACTCCCAAGGACAGCCCCACCATTAACAGAAATTCTCACACTCTAAGACAGCTCCACTCCTACCAGAGATTACCTCCCATGTGCTAACTTCCTTAACCTCCCTCTTCTATAAAAGCCACGCCTTGCCCAGACTCGGGGCTGTGCCATCTTTCCCCATCCAGCCTGGCAGTTTGGGCCTGCCATTAAACTTTGTGAGACTTTTCTCATGAGCTTTCTTTGTGAGCGGCGTTTTTCCTAACATTTGGTGCTGTGACTCGGATTGGGGTGCACTCCCGGCACTGACCTTGCTCTCCCAGCCTCCCCCCCCACCCCACTCTCTCTCTCTCTCTCTCTCTCTCTCTCTCTCTCTCTCTCTCTCTCACTCTCTCTGTCTCAACTCCCATTCCCTTCCTCTGGGATCTGAGCTGCTTTGCCAGAACCCCCGATCCTAGAAAACGCCACTCTCTCACAGCTCACAGGGAATTTCCTCCACCCTAGTGGGCCTCCAATTGCCATCCACCACCGGCCAACCTTCCCTCAAGGTCCTCTCTCAGTGAGTCCTTTTTGCACGCAGAGCTGTGATCTCTCTCTCATTTCCTTGAAATCCTAGCACTAGGTCTTGGCTTGCTCCTGTCCCTGGGAACTGGGTTCCCTACTATGGACTGTAGACCTTGTGGTGAAGACATTCCCTCTGGGTACTCCACATCTCTCTCTCTCTCCTGAGGACCTGATATTTTGGGGACAACCACCATATTTCTCCTCAGGTCAGGCCTCACCATGAGAGTTGGACCATCCAAAATTCCTTCAGACTCCCCATTGGGATGTCTTCTGGCCAATCTTGGGACCTTACGCCTCATGCCTGATCTTAAGCCCCAAAAGCTCATTTTTCTCTGTAATCAGGCATGGCCCCAATACCCATTACACAGTGTCTCCAAATGGCCACTTAATGGCACTTTCAATCCCAATATTTTAAGGGATTTATACAACTTCTGTGAGCATGCTGGTAAATGGAAGGAAATACCCTACGCCCAATCCTTTTCCTATCTCCACACCAAACCCTTCCTCTGTACTTCCTGTTACCCTGCGCAGGTTCTGTTAGCCTCTAAACCAGCTTCTAAATGAACCAAAATCCTCTCCCAAACCTCCTCCTTCCCCATGTAAGCAGACATCTTGCACTGCTCATGCTGCTTGTCTCTTTCTATCTTCCTGAGGGACTTTCACATCATGGTGTCAAGCCACTCCTTGCCAACTCTGGCCACAAGATGATTCCAGCTCTGGGAGAGCTCATGCTCCCTCCCTGTGGGCTGAGACCAAGCGTGGAGTTTATTTGGGTACGCCTCATGCTACATTGGGGGAGTCCTGTTTGATTATGGCATCTGATGACTGCTTCTCTTCCCCCCACCCCCTCGTCTAATGCTCCTTTTTCCTGAGACAGTGACCAGAGAGTGGAGGTTTCATGTTGCTGAAAGTGTTCCAGTACCAGTCAATGGGAGTAACCTAGAGGCAGAGGTGATGGTTAATCACTCAGGCATGTGTCATGCCTCCAGGCTCTGCCTTCCCTTCCCTTACCTAAGATGTCAAAACACCTTTTCTGCTTCCTCCATGGTCTCACCGCATGTCCTTTGTCTCTGTCTGCCTTCTCCTCCCTGGGCTTACTGGGACCCTGCCTCCCATGAAAAACTTGTAGCATGGTACCTTATGACTTAAGTTATTCCAACTAGTTTGCCAGGCCTCTCAGTCTAAAGTAACTTTAAGTCAGCTGCTAGGTAAAAGCGCTTACAAAAAAAAAACTACGGCTGCCACGCTAATGCCCTAACTCCGCCCCCACAAGCGGAAAAAAGAAAGCAAATAGACATTCTCCTGCACAGTGAAAACGCCTCCCATAGCTAAGAGAATCCATAGGCCAACCCAACACACATCCTAGGCCACCAGCCGCACATGGCAATGGCTGCAGCCTGCTGCCACTTCCCCTAGAATAAATACACTCTGAGTACACAGGAAGGGGGGAGGGGCAACAGACAGCAGGATCAGGCCTAGGCAGTCAGGCTCACTTGTCCCAGGTGTATGTGGAGGGGATCAGTGCCTTGCACACACCCTGCTCCTAGCCTGACCTCACACCTCGGAGCACCGGAACCAGCCCTTGAGAGCCAATTGTTGGTGCAAGGTTATAGTGCCAAAAATCACAAAATGGACACTATGGTACTGTTATTGGCCTGGGATACCCTCTGAATGCCCTTCTATAACTTTACAGATGATTTATTCCTTTGTTAAAAAGGTAGCCTTTATTAAAGAGGCTGCCTGCTGTTAACTAAAAGACAGGATCCTAGCATTTTGTTCTTTCTAGATGGGACCTGCACCTTCCAGTCTTCTGGCTTGTAGATGTTGGAAGCTTTGTACTGAGGCTTGGCCTCATTATGCCTTGGGTGACCAAGAGAAGTGGCCTTCACAGGGTTCCTGTGAAGGTTCCTATGAAAGGGAAAAAAGTAAACTGAGGTCCCCTGTACAAATTTTCTTTCATCTCAGATTGAGTCTACAATTGCTATTTAGATACTCAAATGCTGGCCATTCTTTATAAGCCACAGGATAAACATAGAAAGGAGGACCAAAAAAGCCCCTTATCAATGACAAGGTCCACCCCTACTGCTCCACCCTCTGCCCTACCTTCTAAGCCACTCCAATATTCAGAACCTCCTAATGGGTGCTTCCCCCTTCAATAGGTAATGGTAGGAAGAGGGTGAGTCTATGTCCCCTTCCAGCTATCAGATCTAAGGGAAATTAAAAAACATCTGGACAGCTATACTGATGCCCAGACCAATACATCCAAGCCTTTATCTCTGTGATCCAAACCTTTCAATTGACATGAAAGGATGTTATACCTCTATTAGACCAGACGCTTATCTCATTAGAAAAACAATGGGTTCTGGCCCAGGCCACTCAGGTTGGAAATGATTACCATTTACAATGAGCCTCAATACTAGTGGCACCTAGAAATGTGGGAATAAATGTGTCTATACCTACAGGGGCACAGGCAGTCCCCTTGACAGATCCACACCAAAAGGGGCTGATGATATGGCTCAAACAGTAGAGTGTTGCTTTGCAGGCACAAAGTCCTGAGTTCAAGCCCCAATACAGC